CATTTCTATATGTATATATAATTGTACACGTATATTTAGTTATAGATGTGGTGGAAAATGTAAGAAGCGCATCACTGACATCACAATGTCGTAATCGTATACAGGTGTATATTGTCGTCACTCTACTGTTTGTCATCGTGCATCAGTGTGATGCTTGTATACTGTCAATGAGCTTTACGTCTAGATATGCTTCAAAATATGCTCTTCTCAAACGCAATTGTAGACACGTGTAGTACATAATGCGTTTACACACGAGATAATTTCTTGATTGTATGAGAATCACTTATTTGTAACGTTTGTGGCGCAATCGGATTTGCAAAGTGGGAGCGCAAGGGCTACTTCTGATATTGCACTTCGGAAGCGTTGATAACACTTGGGTTGTAAAAAGCATGAGCGCACACACAAATACTGACGATCATCTGATCATTGGCACAATTTTGTACACATAATTTTACAACTGTTGCCACGAGCAGTAGAACAAGCCATCAATTGCCCCGCCTGAATGGTAACTTCATATACACAAGCACGTCTTTGGTTCAGTATTACGCACATGCCAGTAGGACACAGACATCTTTCACAGCGTTTATGACACGTGTTCTATATCATTATACCAGCGCGCTCGCACTAACCCTTTCAACCTCAATTACAAATATTCTTACAGAATAGTATGCTGGCGCCGCAATTCGATACCATTCCTGCCGCGAGGAAGACGTCACTGTCCGACGTAGCTATGGTATGAACCTTGAATTTTTAGGTTTTTTAGGGTTTAGGGTTTTTTAATCTCCTAAGGGTTTTAGGGATACGCATATGTTTCAGCTGAAATTTGTATGTCAAGATGTGTAGTTCTAACTGACTTAGTAAGCATTGAGTGCGTTTTTCTAGTTATCTAGTAGTTTATTTTTGCGTAGGTTTTGGTCTTCAAGGGCTTCTCTGTCTCACAAAATCTATCTGTTAACCAGTTATTTGTGGTTTGAACGCCTGTGTAACGGTCATATTCTAATTGTACAAGAATTTTGTTTTATTCCAGACTGATATCAAAAGATATCGTCAAGTAATTGAATCTCAGTCTCTCAAAGCAGCCCGGCAGAAGATTGTAACATTGTTTCAGGTAGTTATTCCAATTGCATGCGCTCATTTTGTTATTTCGCCCTCTCCGTTGTTCGCTTGAGAACACAGCTTATATGTTGTTTAACATCCTCGCTGTGACAAATCTCTATAGTAAAGCTCAAGGGTAGTAGTTCATCTTTTCAGAATGCTCTCGCTCATGTAATTTCTAAATACATATGCTTTGATTTCACGTTCGCTTGCCTGGGTTGCACTTGGAAAACTTAGGTGCATCCATTTGTCTATTTGCTCTCTGCCAGTTGATGACTTCTGTTTTAAAATCTTCGGGAAGAACACCGTTGTTCCTTTCATTTATTTAGAATGTATTTCATGAGCATGCTGTACCAAAATGGATTATACCCCTCAGTACTACTTTTGGATGTTGTCCTCCCCTTTATTGATGAGACACTATAATTCACTGTTTAGAGCACGGAATGTAGTACACAATCGGCTGTTCTAATTCTTGAGGTGATGCTAGAAGTTCTTCATAAGGAATAGGATTGTCATTCATATTTTACAGGAATGAACTATATTGTTATTAGTCGCTCACACTCAGATATACTGTGATTCTTTCCTCCAAATAGAGACCAGAACAACTAGAAAAAGTCAATGAACACCGGCGAAACTTTGCTCGCGAAAAGGCGGCCGTAGATGCCAGGTCAAAGTCCCTTGCCCAGTCTCATGCAGAAAATCTGAAGCAGGCGCTGAAAACGCTTGAATTCACTCGCAGCACCATGTCGCAAATCAGTGTCGATTTCGAAAAGATTCAGGAGAGATGCTCTAAAAGCGCAGATTCAATCACAGATTACGATCGTATGTTGTTTCGTATTAGATTTGCCTTAGCACGATAATTTTTTAGTATGTAAATAGGTGTGCGATGTTTTAAGGAAACATGTGGTTGTTTCTTGGTTCTTCGTGTTTCGTCACGCTGGCCATATGGCTGGCGTTCAACAGCGGAGCAGATTCGGCTGTAGACTAGTAGTGGTTCCCTGACTGGAAGGACATGTTCATCGAACACTACAACTCTGACAAATACTATAAATTGCTGCACATCTGGTGCGAATGCGTTTTGGCGAACAAAGTCATCGTATTCGCTCAGAAACGTATTAGCACATCGTATTCGCACACTCGTTCAGACTATCCATGAGCAAGTACAGAGAAATCAAATGATTTATCATTAGCGCGGGGCATGGTAACTGATACATGAATCAAACATGACTATTTTTGATTTCTGCTGCACAGGTATAAAAGACATCAATCGCAACCGTAATCACCTATTCCACACGCGTAGTTATCTGGATAATATATTCACGGCCTTGGACATTGCCAGAACACTTGACGAAGAGCTAGAAAGTGAGGACTGCAACCTTCTGGCTGTTCACTCTCGATTGTCAGATTTGGAAAACTGTCGGTATGTGATCGCTTAATAGATCTTTCCAGGCATAACAATCACAATACGCATGACCGATATGCGTTTAAATTGCACTCTTTTCTCGACACTAATCAAATATATCCAGAAATATTGCGCCAATTTACCAATAGTTTGTTGGAAAATGTGTTGACACATTTTTCAGTACACATTTTAGCTCAGCTAGCGATGGCCTTTTAATATCAAACCAGTGATGAGTTGATCTACTATGTACAAAACGACGATGAGAATCGAAATGCTCTCGAAGCCTACTTCGGAGAAGTGAATGAGATTGCTCTCAAATTGGAAGACATTATCTGGGATGTTCTTACAAACGTATGTTGCACATTTGAACACGTGGTGAACTATGCAAACTCTCGATTTGCTCTATCGGTCTCTGGAAGAATCATAAAAAGTTATCATTAGTTCAATATGTTCTGCTCAGATCTGCCTATATTTGATCGCTATTTCCTATCTGAATAAACATTGTAAAATTTTGCTTTATGAATGTCCCAGAATACGATACACGGGCGTGGTAGTGCAGCTGACATAAGGTGCTTTTTACCCAATGTACAGCTTATTGCAAATTTGCAAGCCAGACCACACAAGGTTGTATCCGTTCTACGCATAGTCGAGCGCGAAGAGATGATCGACCGTGATGTAAAAGAAGGAAACAGGAAGATGGACACATCATACAGACCAAAAAAGTATCGAATGAAGGCTTTAGAGGCCATAACGAATTCAATAGAGAAGAGATATAGAGAATTGACGGTTGAGGGCAATGTTGCACAGACTGTGGGAAATTTCCGATTTATTTTCCAGGACTTACAGATTATGAAGGTGCGTAATAGCGCTGGACAAAAGTGATGTGGTATTGTAGGTATGAATTTCCTACTTGGAGAGCATATTTTCACTAAAAACTGTCTCGGCCTTTTTTTGGGTGCGGATTTGGAGCGGGGCGCCTATTTTGCCTTGTGAGTCATGAATTGTGAATTGTGAATCGTGTTTTCATGTGGTTTCTGTCCCGTGTGCTATTTCACGTCACAGGACAAAGGGACGAAGTGCTTTCCACCAACGTACGACATCTTCACCTTCTACTTAGAGTTCTACCACAGCAAGGCGGTAGCGGAGATGAAAGCGCTCTCAATCCGCGATGACTTGGTTCCCGGTGACATTTGGTTGTTGTTGAGTTATTCAGATCAATACCATGACCTGATGTACTCAAAAGTCGGAATTCCTCGAGATAGGCTTGCGCCGCCTATGCTACAAGTATGATTATTTTTGGTTTGTTAAGTGTAAAGCAATTGCATATATATTTAAACTTCACAAAACAGCCACATTTACAAGCTGGCTTCTCTCCAAACAATTTGACACAATGCAAATCAATATGCCAGTGATAATATGGATAAGTTGATTAAAGGCAATAGCACTGAAGTTGTCAATATAGATAGACGCTGCATTCGCAACTTAAAAAACTGACATTACGAACCTGCCTCGATCACATCAGGTTTGTTTCTCACCGCTAATTGGGGACGAACCCAGTAAGTCACAGGCTGTGTTGTGAATTTGGGGTTTTCTAAGTTTCACTTGCCGTGCAATGGTACGTACTTTTTTTTTGCTTATAGGGGGCAGGGGACAACCTCATGGACGATTATGTGGACAAGCTCAGCAATAATATGCAGACTTGGTGTAAGAATATAATCATCACAGAATGGGATGAGTGGTTCGGGGGCAGCCGAGAAGATCCGCCAGATGAAGACGCTGCCGGCCTTTACATCTCACAGGTTCCTGTGATTCTATTCCAAATGGTGGATCAGCAGGTATGACTGTACTCTTCACCTCTTAGTGTCTTTACAAAAAGGTTTACACTGATACAATAATCTACGGTAAGAAATTATTATAAATGCATCACATACATCATAGGCTTGCTAGACATACTCACCAAACGTCACAAGCATCTATACTGGAAGGCAGAATGGAACCCAACTAATCATCACCATTGTTTTTTTTCACGCGATTCACGTGATGATCTACTCGTGCCTGATACAGTACAATGTTGCCGAACAAGCTAACAGTGTACCCCTGAGAAAGAAGGTGTTGAGGCGGTGCTCCACCATTCTACTAGATTTTCAACAGCAATACGAACATGCAATCAACAATCAAGGACGTCTATACTTTCAAGGCGAGGGTAACAACGACTACTTCTTGGAGTATATGGTATGTCAGATTATGAGCGTGTCTGGCTCGTAGATCGAGTTGTTTGATCGTCGAGAACGATTTGTTATACATTTGTGCATAGAAAGTTTGACGGAAATTTAGTGCGTTGTATTACTTTGAAAAGATATTTTGTAACCCCATATGAAATTTTGATTTCATGACATGTTTCCTTGTAGACAATCACTTGCCATGTTCACGATTCTCGTGCCGTGTGCGGGCTATGCATTTTATCTTTTTCTTGAATAGACGTTCGATACATTGTATATACCTATCACTATACCAGGGCGCTCGTGGGGTGAAGCACATAATGGTTTGAACTGTCCTTCTTCGACTATGGTCGCCTATCTCACACGGGCTTATAATCCAACTATTACAATTTTGTCTATTCATTGCAGATGATCATCGTAAACAATTGCAGCAAGTGCGAACTGTACACCCACGAATTGGCAACGGCCGTCAAAAATAAAGTGGGAAGTGGTACAGAAAACAGTCAGATTACTGCATTGCAGAACGTATTGCACGGTTTCATGCATATAGCAGCTAAAGCGTATCGATTGCTTATCGAGGTGGCCTTTGGAGATCTGTCTCCTTATTTCAAAAAACTCTTCACGAAGTAAGCAACAGTCAGAGTATGAAGTTTTAGTCTCTTCTCATGTTATTCATGTCCAGTGTATGTCAAATCAAGATTGAATACGCTTTATTTTATTGGCAGTAAGTATCAGATTGAAAATATGGCCGAATACAACCGGTGGTACTCTCACCAAACTACGCACAAAACTACGGCACATGGAGCGGTAGATCTTGTCTGTTGTACGTAATACAATCTTGTGTATGTTTCGGAGCTTTGGCATATGTTCTGTTTTCTCCCGAGGTGACAATTCGATCACGTACTCGCTCGGCCCCTAAATGTTTATGCACATCCACTGATGTCTGTTCTGTATAATGCTTATTTTGGTTCGGGTCAAAAATTATGCGCATGTGTTCACAGACGCGTATGTGCACGCATCATTGTTTTCCGGCCTTTTTCTATTGTTGCATGCGTACTTTTAGATCACATTGACACTATAGTCCTCATAAAGGCATGTTTGATACTACGCTTCGATATTCAGCTGACTGATTTATCTTTTGTGCCCGAATGTTTGCAGGGAGTGGTATAGTCGACAATCAGACAGCGGACAGGCGTTTGCCACGATCTTAGTAACGCTCGACGATTATTGCAACGATTTCAAAGAACACACGACCAAGAAATACTTTGAGTGTATGATAAACGAGATGCACACACGCTTCTTGGTGAGCTACGCTACCCAGATGTTCACGCGTGCCACGACAGTGCTAAATCAGGAGGTAGGTTGCTCGCCTGCAAATACATAGTCGTAGCTTCGTCGACAATATTAGCCTTGCGGTGCATCTAAGCTCTGTTCCCAGCACCCGCTCGCTCTCTCCTTTCTTCTATATTGGTCAGTTGCTAGGACGCACGAATTGTATTTGTTCCTAAAAGGAGCAATCACTTAACCCCATTCTAATCAATGTCTATTCGAAATCGTAGACCGTGGATATTATGCGAGAGGAAATGGACAAATCTTTCGAGTTTTTCGAAAACCTGGGAGCAGACAAAGTCGATGCCAAACAAGGTAAATTGTGACTAGTGTTTACGGGGCATGCTATCTAATATCAATCAAAATTTCAAGTGCAATTCACGATTCAACAATTTTGGAGATGGTTAGCTCCGATGTTAATTGCGCATCTAGCAAATTGGCTAGACCTTTGACGTAAACTTCCGGAAGCAGTGTATGAAAACATAAATTCGACGGTGGAATTGCAGAGCTTGAACGACGCGAGCAAGGATCACAATCATTGCACGCTGAATACCGACACTTTAATATTATATAGTATTGTATTTAATCATGAAATACCACCACTTCTACACCAACAGTTGTCATCATATCGCTGGCCGAACTATCGTCATGTTCGGAGGAATTCATGGCGCTGCACTATGTCGATTTGGTGAAGAACAATCCTGATTTTAGCATAAGGCATCTGGAGCAGTTGCTAACATTCCGTTCAGATATCTCTAGATCGTAAGTCAAAGCACTGTAATTTAGGAAGTTGTACACAATTTTGCAAAACAATCTTTGATACATGTGATATTTTGTGACGAAGTTCTTGCTAGTTTAACCGGTACAAGTGAATGCGAATCCCTTACGATCGAGAAGTGTGACACACATCACTGTGCATGCAAATTCTTGGAAATTCTCTTGTTCATATGTAAATATTCGTTTAACTTCTCCGGATTATAAGGGGGTTAAGTCGCTCTTGTGAGCCAGCGCACGAAAATCGCACGTCTACAGTCACATTATTTTCGACTTGTGGCTTCCATATATCCATTCGGTATAGCGCTGTCATCCTGAGTTATATATTCGGTTCCCGTTAAAGTAGCAGGCTTATCTCATGATATACGATCTCGATACTTCTAACTTCGGCATATTTTTGTATTTTTTTTAGGTCTCGGGCTGAGATTGTAAAAAACCTTGGCGATACCCCAGTCCGAAATCAAACAACAAAGCCAGTTATTCCGAATTTCTTCGGCAATATTCGTCTACCACCGAGATAAAATGAATGTTAGTACACTAATGAGACTTGAATTTTAGAAATTTATTCCTGCTGATTTGGTAACGATAAAACCGAATATGAAGGGTATAAAGCATCATTGCAGATACGCGCACCTCTTTACGCGGTAAGAAGTGCTTTTGAATATCTGTTTGGCACATGGATTACAATCATCACAACGCTTTAAGCAGTCCAGAAATCTCCCCACCAAGTCTCTGCTTAACGATCATGCACCGTGGTATGTTAAGGTTGTCACTTCAGGTTCCATAAGTCATATAGTCCACCAATCTCTCTTATGCGGGCTATGCTTTAGATATGTACCAGCTATTGCCTGTGATAAGCCGCCTTGGCTGAGATTCAAAAACACTATCACTCTTCATTATTGCTTCGCGCTGTGTTGCTGTATATTGTCACAAATCGCTTTACAATTGACACCATGAAGAGGTTGCAAGAAAATCAGCTTGTCTCAATTTTGGTTGTACTGCTTCATCTGAAGGTACAGTCTGAGAAACGAGAAATGGCATCATGAAGCGATACCTGCAGGTTTTTGACGGAAGAAAGCATATTTTTGTTCAGTAACTGGGGGATGTGATGGCAGTCTCAACGATGCCACAAGATAGTATATGGCTTTACAACTCTTCTCAATGAGTGTTTCCTTTCGAAATTTAGTGAGATGAGATTTTCAGATTAAACATAGCAGTGGTGGCTCAACACTAGTGAGCATGAGATAAGGATTGCATCATGATAGTTCTACGCCTAGTAACAGCAGTCCATGGTCACGACTCGCAGATGCGTGACTAGAAGACTAAAAGATTTACATCCGTCGCGAGCCATTGCAATAGTTAGATGTCGGCATACTCCTTAATTCCCCTGCTTGCATCGTGCTCGCTAGCATTTTCGACGGTGCCCCCAGCAGCCGCTGCAGCCGCGCCATCTATAAAGAAAGATCAAAAACAGGCAAAACATGAGCGTCTCAGCAGCAAATACACCCGAGAATGCAATAGGTTAATATATGTGGTACAAAATCCAATCAATAAAAAAAAGATCGGCATAGCCGACCAAGTTTAGCAAAGTACTCTTGATGTGCAAACGCATACACATACACGCAAAAAAGACGTACATCGTGAAACATTTCCAAATGACCACCACAAAAAAACTGCACAAGAAAGTAAATAGCTACTGGAGGCACACGCTAGTAGTCACGGGTAAAGTATCTAGTTAGATACAAATGAAATCGAGATGTAGGTCGGGCTCAGTCTAGACAGCAATATACACACGTACAAACACCGAACAACCTAAAAGGATCGATCCGCAGTCAATACGCATAAGTAAAGTGTACCAGATTTGTATTTGAACGCAACCACAAGCACAAGATGCTAACAAGATAATTTAGAAACTGACGCTCTCACGCGAAACACTCTTACGAACAACAGTATGTGTCAACACGCGTTCATACAAACACACGCCCTACCTTGATCTACCCAAGAACCTCTGGTCGCCGCGTGCTGACCAGGTGCGATTTGTGGGGGCAATTTGTTGACCTCGTGCTCTGGCTGTTTAGGCGCATCGTTGCTCTTTGGTAGCGGTGCGCCGTGAGGGCCCTTGTGTGGAGATTTGGTTAAGGAATATCTTGGCGAATTCGATATCGAGTGCCTGGGAGAATTGGAAACCGAGTGCCTGGGAGAATTGGAAACCGAGTGCCTGGGAGAATTGGAAACCGAGTGCCTGGGAGAATTGGAAACCGAGTTTCTGGGCGAAGTGGTTGGAGGGTGTCTCGGCGACTGACCTGTGAGCGCAAAAGTACAAGCAATTTTAGATTGCGACAGAATCCGACACAATTGGGGAATCTATGATATCCTAAAACATAACCATTTTACCTAATACGCTTCATTTCTAATGTACGTCCGTGCGAAGTGTCGCATTTAACAACGCAAGACATACATTTCTCGCAGATTTAACTTGCAATATATGAATTCCTTTGCACACGTATAACCTTGTATAAATATGAGCGGTTACTCATACACTTTCGGATGTGGGCGTACAAAATATACCTTGATGCATCGGAGATCTCGTTTGGTTCACCTGCTGCTGACGCATTGCAGCTAAGTATTGGTCATGGTGATCTCTGAGACTGTGACATACAAGTTGAAATAACAATGAGCAAATAGAGGCATGACGTCCTGAGTTGGGGCGAACGTGTCATGACTTTAGCTCAAGCACAACTCAAACTATAGGACAGCACAAATAGACGGCATATGATCGCATCTTTGAGAATAAACTCGTATCCATGCTGGCTTAGGCATCCCACCCACATATACGTTATGACGACAACTTAAGATGCTGCACATGCATATCAATTCACCAAACGAAGTACTGACAGGTAATTCTTCAATGAAATGGATATATAAAATCAAACTATTGAAGTATATGAAGGTCACCGACATGAAGAATACAATCGGTACGATCGCAGACATACTTTGGTGGTATCCTGGATGGGAAAACACGAACGACCCCGCCACAGCATTGGCGATCGTTCATTCCATCGACCGCCAGCTTTGTTGACGTCGAAGATTCGAACGTTACTAAAGCAGACGATGATCGTACGTTTGGCGTTATTCTGATCTCAACCACTTTTCCGAATGGTGCAAATTCTTGGGCCAGTTGCGGATTGGTAACTCCTGGATTCAGATCGCCTACATAGACCGTCTAATTACAGATTGTTTGTAGATTCAACAGAAACATGACGACAGATTTGAGCACACTCTCTCAAAATTGTGCCAGGAAGATAGTATACGTTTGCATTCATTCGCTCTGAGAAATCTATTGCGAAAAATGCACTTAGCTGATTTCCTCTAATGTGGAAAGTTGCCTCATTTTCAACACCGGGCCGCAGCGGGATACAAACCCTAAAGATGCGAACTCAAGACATGTTCACCCCAGTTTATCCGAACATTGCGTAGTCTAGTCAGACCATCTGACTAACCAGCTCGGGTGCTCGCGTGACACAAGTATCAGGTGCAACACAAATAAAGAGTAATACAGTGTATCAACGCGAGTCAGTGCAGTAAGCTCCCAGGTGTACATATCCGCCAATAGCCACACCTGCAGAAAGTATTCTAGTGGCAAATCTGAATTCCTTTGCTGCTGATGTTGATCGAACTGATGTTGTTGTCGACTTAGGAGTTGTTCGTGCTGTTTGTTACGTTTTTCTTGCGCCTCCCGCATCGCCAATTTACTGCTATTCTTTATGACGTCCAACTGTGAGGGCCTGAAGATATGAACACATATTGGAGAAAAATTCTCTTTCAAGGTGACACAGGTTCATAAATACGTTCGGCTATGCATATGTGCATCTAGGCTGAATCGGAGACATTGACAGGTTTAGAATTGACCATCGCTCGGTCCCAGAGGAGCCTCAATAACTTTTTTACAGGGCTTTGAAGATACAATCTAGCGATCTGTTGCATAGAGACACTATGAACAGGCCTGAAATATAACTTCAATGCTGGAATATGGTACTGGTCATATGCATAAACGAGTTTCAACCATGCTGAAGTACACTCATTATATGAGTACGGTGTCAGTCGTACTCACATAAGTGCTTCTATACACTCAGCAGCGCACATTCCACGTACCTGTGAGACTGGGACGAGTGCGACGGCGAGAATCCAATATGCCCTGATCCACCTTCCGAACCCGCCTCGTTGATGTTACCAGTGCTGCTACCTGTAAATATTGAAAAGTACTGACATGTAAGTTGTAACTAGCTCAAAACTTCAATCAAATTCGAAATCGTAGCGTCTAGCAACGCTGTGAACAGCTCTACTGCTATCACGGGCTGACAACGAAATAAAGAGAATAAAAATAAATTAAACTAGTACACATAAAATTGCATACCCATGTCTACATACCCACACCAGAAGCCCTGGATTGCAACAAATTATCTTTTGACTCCTGGATAAATGCGTGAGCTTTCTTTTGTGACTGCTCCTTGTCTCTCTCGGCTTCAAGCACACGCCTGGCTTTAAGCTTCTTCGCTTCGATAGAATCATCTTCCAGTTCTCGTTTATTGTTCTTCACCGCCTTGGAAGCTCGCTGTTTCATTACCCTCGTTGCTTGGAGCTGTTAATATCGAGAAATTCAGGTATTTGTAGTACAAAATGACGACGCAAAATGCTACACTTATAAAACAATATCGTGCAAGCATCTATTGAAATCCTCATCTAGTATATCGACAAATATGAAATATAAGGAGAGAACATGCACACAGCTACATTTGGAACATGATACATTATTAGACAGACAAAATGATCCGTGACAGACAAAATGACCAGGACAGACTTTGTGTTGAATCAAGTTGCTAGAGATGATAAAAATCAAGATTAAATTGTGCTGTGCACCACATAATCACTAGATTAGTGGATACAACTATACACACTTACCCATGAAGTACAAATATTTGCAAGTGTGTAAACAGCCATCTTGCTGCCCGACATAATGTGGTAGTACCAAATCCTACGCGTGATGGCAGACCTGTGCTTAGCACGCATTCGATATTGTTTGAAGTGATTATGCTTCCATGATCACTAACATATGGCAAACGCAAACTTATACAAACTTATACAAAGTAAGCAAAGTTTGAGAGTAATGTATCTCGTTGGATCGAGGTCGTCGATTGCGGACGCACGCCTATACCGCATGTCTAAGCATCTTCAGTGACCTGTTACAAAATATGCGCTCTGCGTTCTAAAGTTTTGTATTCTTAGAGTAACTCGTAAAATATCAACGAAACGAGGCCATTAGCAACCAACTGCAAGCGTGTCGACCCACACTAGCTTACCATGTTCTTGGGCAACCACGCCAAGCCCCAACACAGCAATCGTAATTTTGGCACGGTAAAAACATCATATATAACACAACAGAAGAAACTAATCAGTATAATTACTCTTCTGGTGGGTGCCAATAAACGAGTCCTGTTTCGCTGCACAACGATTATTCAAACAGCACACACAATGAATAGGTTGCTCGAGTTGATTTTATAAACTACCGATTACACAACCTTGTGAATAATATTGAAAAACACTATGTGCTTACAGACAAAAAATTTACCTTTACTTTAGCCAACGCGCTTAAACGTGACTTGAGCTGGGTTTCCGCGGCGGTCAGAGACATTACGTATGTCAAATCTAAGAACACTAGAGTGACTGTTCGTACCCTTTCTGTTTAAGGCTTACTCTGATTTTTGATATTTAGGCCAAATAAGTACAATGAAGTAAAATAGTAAATCTTTACAAGCCCACAACTACTGAAAAATCTATGTTGGACATGTGTAAATATGAATATTTGCGATTACTAACGCCGCATTTAATGATTAATCACGCTTGAGTTCTGTTATCAACAAGAGAAGTATTTACAGAAGAAATGCATACTACGATCGCCTGATACGTGCGACCGATTATAAATATAAAAATATTTGATCACTTATATTTTGGGTTAAAAAGCCGACGGCAAGTGATTGGCCCTCCAGCGAATGGTCTTCACTCTTCAGACATACACACGAATGTAATAAATATCGACCAGAGCAGAGAGAGTCTCACTCAGCGCCTCTCAGACAGGCTCAGATTCCAGCTTTCGTAAATAGTGTCTAATTAGAAAAGGCTATGAATATTGCAATATAAATTCTCAATACATCACGACTATTTCACAATTCACAACTCATAACATTATATTCTTATTATAAATATGCATGGCTCCTATGCCACATGTATGATCGTTTAATTGGGCCGGCCAATATTTGTTGGTTTTAGGTCATAGAAATACGATCATCTTTTTTACAACCAGCCCTCCCTGTGATATACACTTCCACTGAGTAGGACAGAGAACCTGGCAAGAAACAATGCAGTATGTGACAAATTAATCAATACAGTACGTGTCAAATTATGTGGGACAAAGTGTAACCTTTAACTGTCCTCGTACTATTGTGTTGAGTAGTACACGTGTGTATAAAGGTCATAGCAGCTCTAATGAATTTTACTCACGAGTATTGGATCCTATTGCTTACTGTGAACGAGCAACACGAGCAATCCTATTTTACAATTGCAATTCTTCGACACTTTTCCGTACGTGGTAATATCCACGGAAATTATCACACAACCCAACTTAATAGACATACTGTGCGATAACTCCATCTCACCCTCGCATGAAAGTATTTTCCACTGAGTTGTCTCGTGTTCACAGATAAGCACAATATACACACACAGGTGTGTGTTCACACACACACACACACACACACTGCCACACACGTTTACACACACACGT